TAACGAAACCAATACAGATTCTGGTTATATTCTTGAATTTACCTCAATTGTAGTCGGACTACTCATGTCCTCTTGATTTTGATTATTGAATTTATATAGGGAAATTTATTAAGCAATTCAACTTCATTCTTTTGCATTAATTATCACAACTCATTCTAATTGCAAACTCTACTTTTCATAATTATGTATAAATTTACATTTAGGCATTAAAATTGATAATACCAATATAGATGCTTTCTAGCCAATAACTCTCGATGATTAATGAATTTCGATGTTTATTATTTGTATTATTGCAAATAAAGAATTAAAAAATGGAAATTCTTAAGTCTATTGAAGACTAATTGTCTTTAAATTCTTGTTGTGGAATTGAGAGAATTAGATCTGAATTAATTCAAAACCATATAAAATGTATTATACTATCAAATCTCAACTCTTCACAAAAAATAATTACAAAGTAAAATGATGATTTCTTATTTCATTCAAATACAAACTAGAGGAAATTTTTAACTGAAGTAGATAAAAAAATTGATGAGTATATTTCTACTGATTAATCAAATATGAGAAAGTTCAAATACATAATATTATTATTTAGCAAATGGGAAGTTATATTTTACTGAATTTGATAACGATATGAACCCAAAATTTAAAATTCAAGATGGCCCATTTAGGGTTTGCTTAAGTAAAAAAGAATTCGTATTAGATGGCAATGGAAAAGAGTATTCTGGCAAATCTACTCATATTAAATTTTGAGTATAATTTGAAAATGGCATTTTTAAGGATGATGCAAGAAATTAAAGATCAAATAGCGCCCCAAAAAAAGATTATAATAATCGATTTTTAAACAGGTTTATAAGTAAATAATAATGATTAATTAAAAAGCATCAAAATTTATTCCTCTAATGTGAAAGTTGGTGCAAATATTACTATAAATTTCTTTAAAGGATATCTAGACTTAGAAAATATAGACGATTAACAAGCAGCATCATTGATGCTTATATTCTGTATCTTAATTTCGAAAGTGAAAAAACTTTATTTTTCAAAGAAAAAAATAAATCGATAAAATATCAACAGGATCCTATTTTTACCAACTACTTTGACTACTAATTTTGGAAGAAACTGTACTGATTAACATGCAAAGAACATCTTTGAAGCTGAATTACTATAATTTTAAGATCTGAATTATGACTTAAAAAAAATATACTCATAAATAGGTATGCCTGTAACAAGAAAAACAATCATTGGTATTTTCTACTTTTAGATTTAAAACAGAATAGTTGTATAATTTTTGACTCTCTATAAAAGCCTACTGATCAGATGAACGTCGATTAACAATTAATTCTTGCTTTTGAAAAGTTATTAAAATAAAGCAACTTAAAAAGTAGTTCTCTAGTTTTTCTGGTTAGTAAACTGACGGTTATTCATGCGGATATCATGTTTGCTCATTCATGAATTATTGCAAAATGATATAATTTGAACCAAAAATAGATTATGATTTCAATATAAATGAAATTAAAATAAAATTATTAACAATTATTAAAAATTGATATACCCAAATATTATAAAATTAATTTTATATTTTATTAAATTTCAATTTCAATTTCTTTTCTCCCATTATTGATCCCTTTACTATTTTATAATTATTCTTCTAAAAGATATTGAAATTATTAATATCTTCAAAATAAAATCCCAAATTCTGGATAGATATTTAAAATTTTTCTTATAGAATTATATATGCTTATAACTAATTTAATTAAATTTAACTTGTTTTTTTTTTTTATAATAAATACAACCTATAATCCAAAGTCTTAAAAATCTTTTGACTCAAAAATTTCCCGAAACATAGGTTACAATTAAGAGCAAATTTTATCCACCCAAAGATAATAAACAAACTTAAAAAAGCATCTATTAAAAAATATTATATTTCTAATAAAATAACATGATGCGAAAAAAAAATATAAATATATGATAATTGGAGCAATAATCAATTTTTAAAAAATTATTTGCATTAATTGCATTATAGTATTGTATTTTTGGTAATAAATTCAATTATTTCTACGTTGTTTTTGCCAAGCCAAAATATGTAATTAATATTCATTCTCCTAATTTCCTAATAAGCATTACGCTTGCCTGTATGTTTGGATTACCTTTGCATACATAGTGAGAATCCTAAGATGATTTTAATATTTACCCTTCCAACTATAAGCATCTAATTCATTTTGGCTAATTAAAATAGCTTGATTAAACTACATTATCACTTCCTAGTGTTATTCTAGTTGCATTAAAGAAATTCCTAATAAATAAAATAATTTCTACTTTTATTAATGATTATCTTTGTGTTGTATGCCTTAATTTTAAGCGCAAGGTCATAGGCATTCAGAGCCTCTTAATTATTCTTTTAGTCATATAATGAAAATCCTTTGTTTTTATTAAACTGTCATCAATACCTTTTCTATATTAAGCTTGGCATTTTCTTTGTTCAATTTGATAGCATAATTATATTAATTGATAGCTTCATCATATCGTTTTTGCATATGTA